CGTGCTTTGCGGAATGTGAGGAGCAGATGGAGTCAATCCTACAGCGGCCAGGGAAACCACCGCCGCTGCAGGCGGACGCCCCCGCAGCAGCGGGGGCGTCAGCAGCGGAGGGCCAAAGCAGCAGCAGCGGTGGGCCTTTTGTCGCCCCCGCAGCAGCGATGGCGACAGCAAGAGGGAGTCGTGCTGCGAGTGTTGGCGATTGCCAACAGCTCCAGAATCGACCAGAGTACGAATACTTGACCCTGCGCGGGCGTGAGGACAAGTCCTTGTGCATCGCTGCGCGCGCAAATCTGTGTTACGCAATGCGGCTGCTCCACTGGGAAAGGAGTGTCGACGGCCACTACAAAACAGCAAAAGGGCGCAAGATGGAAGCGTTCTCGAGGATCATGGTGGTTGAGATCTACTTCGATCAAACCTACGCCCACTTCGGCTCGAAAGTGCGGGTGTGCGCGGTGCACCTCCACCGCGACACGGCGAAAAAATCCAAAGGCTTCAACGAGGCTCACAAGACGTGGTGGCGGAGGTTGGCGACCATCTTGCAGGACAACAACGTTGACATCCTTTGTGGGGATTTCAACATGGCGCTCACACTGACGCTGCCGAGCCTTCGGGGTCTAGGCATGCGATTGGAGACGGCAGCAGCGTACTTCTGGCGCGGATTGGACGGCACTCCGTGCTTGGACAGCTGCGGCATCTTCGTTCTCAACAGGCCTGGCGAGTACACCCTGCGCTGGCCGCTGAGCGCCGTGCACGACAGAGACGAGACGGGGTTGCTCTTCGCACGCAAGTCGGTGATCGGTGAGATCGGGTACCGTAACAGAAGCAAGGCAGAGGCCCCCGCAGCAGCGGGGGCCTCCACCAGCCCATCATCGGAGCCGACGTACTGGCACCACAGCCAGAACGGAGGCCTTGGGATGCCTTACTCTTGCTACTACCCGAAAAAAGACGCCCGCGAGCACCTCCAGGATTTACTGACTCAGTCAGAGGAATGCCAACGCAAGATCCAAGAGAAGGAGCGTGAGAAACTGAGGCGCGCCGAGGCTGAGGCTAGAGGGGACCACCGCTTCTCTAGTAATCGCGAGGTGACCCTCTTCCGCGCGTTGCAGAAGACGTTCCCGCCAGAGACCGTGGAGGTGGAGGGGCGCTGGCACGGCGGCGCCCACAACCCTCTCCTGTGCCAAATGCGCATGGCCAGCGTGCGTTCGCAGGGGAGGAAGCAGGAGAGAGCCAAAGAGAAGAAGGACAGGCGCGCCCAGAAACAGATGGCAGCTGCGCTCAGGGCGCCGCTGCCGCCCGAGCAGCACGGACCCGAGCGCCAGGCACCAGAGCAGCACAGCGAGAGGGGCGAGCAAGACGAGCGCGCCCAACAGGCGTGGCGCCCACCAAGATGGGCAGACGAAAACGCGGACGACGGCCGCGACAGGCCCGCGGCTGGCGATGGAAGGTCGCGGCGGGGGGTTGAAAGGGGGAGGGAGGGAGAGGGGGGGCGGAGCACGGGGAGGGCAGGAGGGAGGAGAGGGAATGAGGAATAGGCTGAGCAGGACGAGGGACGACATAAGGAAATGAGTGTCGGGAAGGGGCGGGAGTTGACAGGGAGGGGATAATTATAGAAATAGTTACTTATCACCCCCAAGGTGGCAGCCGACCCCGCAGTGCCCATCTCCAGGGCCTGCGCCGCTGGAGCAGCGAGGGCAGCGCGGCGCCGCCAGCTACATCTCGGACGCGATCGCTGCCCTCGGCCACGAGCCGCCAGAGCCCCCGCAGCAGCGGAGGCCACAGACGCCACGGCAGCAACCAACAGACGGGGAGCGGCGCAGGGATGAGTGGTGGCGCACCAGGGAGGGCGAGGAGCGCGAGTGGCAACAGCCGAGCGGCGAGGCTTCCTCGCTGCAGGACCGCATGGTCGACTCCGCCTGGCGCGACATGCAAGTTGCATTCGGCAGCGACCAACGCCCCAGTGACTGGTGGAGCAGCCACAGTGGGTGGAGTAGCGGCCAGGGGCACTGGGAGGCCACGAATTGGAGGTGGGTCGAACACCCCCCCGAGACCAATCCCTGGGAAAAACTTAGCTGAACCATCGCACAGGAGCCGCCCCTCCGCAGCAGCGGAGGGAGGCCTCATCGGCCGAACGTCGACCCTCCGCAGCAGCGGAGGCCTTGCCAATGCATCGTGAGCGGCGGCGACTCGCGCGCGCCGTCGTGCTCGGCGACCGCTGCCCGAGCGGAGAAGGAGAAAGAAACGGTGCTTTCATCGGTGCTGTCGTTGCCTCCTCTCCTTCATCGTTTTCTTCTCCCTCCCCCTCCAATCCCCCATCCCGCCATCACATTTTATCGTCGCCAATCGTGTCGGGAGCTCCCGTGGCAGAAGAGCACCCAGAACGAGGTCCTCCGTGACAGAGGGGGGGCATCTTAGACCCCCTCTGTGACAGAGGGGGGGCATCTTAGACCCCCTCTGTGACAGAGGGGGGGCCAAAAAACAAATGATCACTTTAATGCGGCTTCTGGAATAGCGGAAATTGAAAGATTGGGCGAAAGTGCCCCGCCGATTTTGGTGGCTGACTGGGTTCCCGCGTTCTGGGCTCCCGAGTTTAAGGGTTCTTGCTTCCGGGCCGATTTCGGTGGGTTCCGGGTTCCCAGGTTCCCGGGTTCCCGGTCGATCTCTCATCGAAAACCATCCGTTCATTGGGTTTTTCCTCTGGTGTTATTCTCCTATTCATTAGAAGGCGTGACTTCTCCAAGATTCATGGCATTGTCACGGGGTGGCATCCTGCTGCAAATTTTAGCTCGTTTGTCCGTTTCCTGAGGCTGAGAGATGCGATGTTTGTCCAGAGCATATTGAAATTCAGCGCATTGCTAATCAAAGGTGGCTGTGCAACAGACACCCTTCGTCCTCAGGACATGCTCTTCATCAGAGCGTGCGCAGGCACATTCACGCGTTCGCTTAACGGATGGTGGCTCGGCGAGGTTTACGTACGTGTACGGCCGATTGAGGCGGCAGCGTCAAACGCAATGGCAGTGGCTAAGTGTTATGCCTGGACAGCAGATGCACGCATGGTGCCCTTGGCCTAGCATCGGAGGCACGTGCGTTGAGTGCGCACACACGCGCATTGAAACTGGCGAACAACGCATGTAACGCATTAGGGATTTTGTCGTGTCTTCAGACAGTGAGCACGTGGGCCCCTAGCGTGGGCTGGCCGCGCAGGAATCTCACAAGGTCGCCAACCGGAGAGAAGGCAGTCTTCGATTGGGTCGGTCGTTCAGGAACGGTTCGAGGGGCTGTTTTGGTGATGGCGCCTTTCCCATTCTTCTTGGCCAGCTACCTCCACGGTCGCAGCTTTCTCGTGCTCACGCTCATTTCAGAGACGCCTCTTCTTGAACATTTCCCAAACGGTGGGAGCGTTCGTTAAGGAACGTGCCCAGGAAGCTGTTCCGCTGGCTTTCAGACCCTGAGTTCCTTTCTGTCGAGGGTTAGGTCGATCTTGCCAAATCAAAGGTAGCCTCGTGCCCTGTGTTTCGCGACCTATGCCTTCTACATTCATGTGGCAATGTGGCCCTCGGAAGGGTTTTGTGTCCTCACGCTGTGCTTTGCAAAAGACGTTCCGAAAACGTCATCCCTTCGGAAGCCCCCCCTCCTCGCCGCCGCCCCGACTCCCGCCCGGGCCAGGGACTAGGACCCTGCTCTGTTCCAGACATAGCACTTGAGCACCCCGCCAGGGCAAACTGTGAGGTGCGTCGGGGGGCATCGTCTGTGAGTGAGTTGCGGGGCCGTCTCACGCGGGACACTTCCTGGGGCCCCCACTTCGTCTTGACGAGTTGGGATGGCAATTGGCAACCTGCACAAGGCAGAATCCTTCAGCACCTCGCTCTGGAAGCCCAGGGTCCATGAAAAGTCAAGTCCCCCATTGACCAGGGCATTGCTCACCAGGACTCTGACGAAGAATGGAGAATGTTTCGACTAACTGTAGCTTGTTCGGGCGCGCCGACATGTTAAATCAAAGTCCCTCTTCAGGGGCCCTAGTTCAAGTTGGCACGTCTTGGGCTGTCCAAGTTTGCTTCTGCAGGCCATTCGCGGGTCCCAGCTGGCGGGGGCAACGTCAGCTTGCTTCCGCTGGCCTTCCGCCGAGGAAGAGGGTACAGCCTCGCGGCCCCTCGAAGTCGAGGCCTTGTTTGGAGCCCCCCCCCCCCCTGCTGCTCTTCCTGCTGCCGGCTGCCGCCGCCACCACCCCAGGAGTGCTTGGAGGGCTCAACGCGCAAACCCCCGCTGCCCCAGCCCTTCCGCAGGATTTGGACTCCATGCGTTCGCTATGTGTTGAAAGATCCCGACATCGCATGTCTGGGCTCCTCCTGCTGCCCCTCCCCCACTCAGAAAAGCGGCCCCTCCTCCATTTGCGCTACAACAAAAAATTCAGAATAATGGTGGCCCATGGGTCTCTCAGGAGTGCGATTTGACCAGAGTATGGAGGCGGATGCGGCCATGGCGACGAGAAGCTCACCCCCAGGGCTCCATGCATGCCCAGAAAACCAGATCTAAGAACCTGGAGTCTCGATCCTTTCTGACGTCGATCAGACTGCAATCGGCTCGGCTTGCAGCGTCTTGACGATACAAGAAGCTGGCACGTAATAGAAGCAACGACTTGGGCACAGCGGCCAACACGCCAGATCGCAAGAGCCCACCCTGCAGGTTCCACAAACAGCACGCTGTCGAGCGGTGCTGCAGCCTCCCCTGAGCACAGGCCCCTCCCGAAGGCATACCTGCGTAGGTGGTCGTGTGCGGGACACACGTCCTGTACTCCGCACCCTCCGGCCGCCTGAGGCCCCGCCCGCCCGCGCCCTGTCTCCCCAATTAGTGCTTCGCGCGCCCTGCCTAGCTCTGAACCGGAAGGGGCCCACTCCCCACCCGCCGACCAAAAAGTGTGTGGGACACACGTATGTGTGCTGCGAGGCCATGGAGAGGTCAGCCGCAGGGGGAGCGCTTCGCGTAGGAACAGCACATCCCTCCAGGAGCGCCTGGGGGCCCGCCCGCGCGACCTCTTCGCGCGCCTGGACTCGAACGGGGACGGCATGCTGTCGCGCGCGGAGCTGGAGCCGACGCTGCGGCAGCTGCAGGAGCGGCTGGGCCCGGCAGGCTTTCGGAGGTTTCGCGTCTCGGTCGCGCGTGATCGGGAGAGAAAGCACAGGCACCAACAGTAATCGTCGACATGGACAACATGGGAAGCGGAGGGAGACAAGCGTCCAAAACATATTTCAAATATGGGGAATCACGGGATTTATGTATATTTGTCTGCGTGTCCCTGGGCCCCTTCACGTAAGTCAGCTGCTTGCGGGGTTCAGCGCAGAGTCGGCCTGGCTTCTTCGGTGTCTTCTTCGGCGGAGGGCTGGCAGAAGACGGCGGAGGTATCACCAGGGTGGGTGCGCTGGCCGAAGGCCCGCCGAAGCCGCCGGAATCAAAATGGGTTGTTAGGCGCTTGGATGGGTGACTGGTGCCGTTTCCCCAATCCATGTTCCGGTGGGGATGTGTCTTGGTCTTGCCCAGGCGCGCGTGCGGATTGCCTCTGGCGCGCTGCGATGGGTTCCGGTGGTGGCGTTCGTTAAGGAATGTGCACATGAGGCTTCAGACCATTGAGGATCCTTCATCTGATGCGAGCGGCGGTGATACCCATGGCCAACCCCCCCCCTCCTCCTCCTCCTCCTCCTCCTCCTCTTCCTCCTCCTCCTCCTCCTCCTCCTCCTCCTCCTCCTCCTCCTCCTCCTCCTCCTCCTCCTCCTCCTCCTCCCCTCCTTCTCCTCCTCCTCCTCCTCTCCTCCTCCTCCTCCTCCTCCTCCTCCTCCTCCTCCTCCTCCTCTTCCTCCTCCTCCTCCTCCTCCTCCTCCTCCTCCTCCTCCTCCTCCTCCTCCTAGTCTCGGACGAGCACGCGCGGCGCGCGCCCAGCCCGACGTCACGCCGCAGCAGCTGGACGGGGTGTTTCGGCACTTCGACCGCGACGGGAGCCAGGAGCGCCGCCGCCGGCGGTTCCGTGCTCGCGGGGCCCTGGCAGCGGAACACGCAGCGACATGAGCATACAAATTTCGGGGGTCCGCGCAGATGCCTCGGATCGGCGCTGGCAGCCCCTGGCGGCGCCTCTGGCGCCGCCCCCGTCGCGCTCCGCGCGCGGGGTCCAGCGCCGATCTGAGGAATTCGCGCGGACCTCTGGCTCTGTATGCTTATGTAATTGTTTGTTCCCCAGCCTTTGTAGGCGAAAAATGTCCGTATCCGCGGCCTCACGGGCCAGGCCCTTGGGCCGCGACCCCGCGGATACGTTGCGCTTTTGCTCGCGGATGCCCCACGCGGACCGTACCCGTGCGACCGCGTATCCGCGGAATCGCGCCCTTCGAATCCAGACCGCGAGGGCGCGGATACGGATACGGATATGTTCGCCGCTCGTGAGTCTTTCTCTCGACGAGAGCACATTATAAACGGAACGTTACCGATATTCTCGCGGATTTCTCGGATTGGCGCTGGACCTCACTGGCGGCATTTCCGGCGACACCTCTGGCGCGTTCCGCGCGCCATAACGGGTGTCCGTATAGTATCTTGGTCCTCTTCAGATCTTTCACTGCATGAGCCCTCCCAAGCCGACCAATTGTTTGGCTAGCTCAGCTAAGAATTGAAGAAACGCATGTTCTTCTCAAAAATGAGATATGGTTGACCTCGTGGAATGTCAGCGGATCGAGACCCCGAGCAAGAGCCCTCCCCCAGCGGCCCCTACAAAGCGTACACGTGGTGGGTATGACGACAGCTTCGCATCCGTGCGTTGGGTTGTATGATAGCGCACCGGGAAGTTTGACAGCGAGGGGGGACATTGCGGCTTGGAAGGTTCACCCAGAGACCTAGAGGGAGGCATAGAAATGGGATTCCACTCGCTCATGGACGAAGCATGTGGTTCTCGTGTATGCACATGTTCCCCCGTTGTGGGCGCAGCTGGCATACCTCGATAAACAGATTGGTGCAGATCGGACGGACGGTCTGTTTGCAAGTTGTTCGCACGTGTATTGTGGCCTGGATACGAGTCATCTCGGATCGCCTGGATTTCATCTGAGCCTTTCGGCGGCCGTCATTGCCCACGCCTCTGAAAGGGCAGGTTGCACGCAACGTCCGTGTGCCAAACGTCCGCCCTCAGATGGCCTTTGCACTCAGAAGCACGATTGTTCACGCACGCTTCGGGTGTCCCCACCAGCCCATCTAGAACCGGTGCCTGGGGCATCTGTTTTGAGCAGGGAGGAAAAAAAGGTAGGAGCATACAGTTGCACAACGATTTGGACAGATGCCAAAGCGAAGATCAAGATATGCTTGGCCAGAACAAGTATTTAACCATCGAGATTTGTTGAGAGCTCGCACAGGATTATCAAGCCGAAGCAACGACCGACCACAAGAGTGTCTGAGTCTGTTTTCAGCGTGCCTGCAAGACGCCTCCAGATTGTTTGTGGCATGGGGTAGGAGAGGTATCCAAGTTCCTGAGGGGATTGATATTAGAGGATATGTTTATTTTCTGGCCACCTACACCCAGACGGGTGGTGGGGCTCCGAGACTGGCGACGTCGTTAGCTGATCTGTTAGGTATCATCTTCATCGTGGCAACCAGCTCCTCGTTGTCTTAAGCTCCGTTTGATCGGCGTGTCGACTGCATCTCTTTCCTCGGCCTCGGCCGCGAGGCCCCCCCCCCCGCCGGTCACGCTGGGCTCGGCCGGGGCGCCCGGCAGCGCGCGGCGCCCCAGCCGGCAGCGCGCGGCGCCCCAGGAGATCGACGTGGACGAGTTCGTCGGCGCGCTCGCGCGGGCGCGCGAGGCGCAGGCGGCCCCGCGGCCCCCGATGCGCTCACGGCCAGCGAATCCGTGGCCTCCCCGTGAGTCTTCCTCGTGAGGGGAGGAAGGAGGAGGAACGAGGAGGCAGAGTGGCGGTAGGAGTCAACGACCGGCTTCCCATGTCAGGACTGGGATGAAGAGGAGGAGGAGGAGGCGGAGGAGGAGGAGGAGGAGGAGGAGGAAAGGGGATGAGGAGGAGAACCACGAGGGGATGAGTAGGATGAGGAGGAAGAGGAGGAGGAGGAGAGGAGGAGGAACGTAAGGAGGAGGGAGGAGGAGGAGCAGGAGGAGAAGGAGGAGGAGGGGGCGGAGGAGGAAGAGCGTGATGAGTTCGACGACGAGAAGAAAGAGGAGCAGGAGGAGAAGGAGGAGGAGGAGGATCTGGTCGGCTGCGTCGGCGGAAGTGGTATTCGCACCACCCGCGTGGGGCAGAGGGGGCCATCGTGAACATGTGGCGCTTCTCCCCGGGGGCCGCTTCCAAGGAAGTGAGGAGGAGGAGGAGGAGGAGGAGGAGGAGGAGGAGGAGGAGGAGAGGGAAGAGGAGGAGGAGCAGGAGGAGCAGGAGCAGGAGCAGGAGGAGGAGGAGTCTGCCTGTTCCTCCTTCCTGTCTCACCATGCACAGGGGAGGAAGGGGGGGATGCAGGGAGGGAGGGAGTGAAGCACCAAGAGGCTTATGGGAGCGAAGCAGACTTGGGCATATGATCACGGCACCCGCGGTGGAGGGGAGAGAGGGGGGGGGACGAAGGGGGGAGGGAGGAAGCGCGAGGGTGAGAGAGCAGAGCGAGGGAGGAGGAGGTAGGAAGGATGAGCAAGCAATGTCGGACAGGCACACATCTACACTTTGGGCGAGTGGATTAGCTTCTTGTGCTGATTCCCAAGTTCCAAACTTACTTCCGCGACATCGTCTTACGCATTGGTTCGCCCGCCATTCGAGGGGGCCGATCGCGGGCTTCGACGTCGCTTGCCAGTGTTAGCGTGGAATCCAGACTTGCGCCTCACGAGCGGATTGAAGGATGAGCGCAAGGTGAGTTTTTCAGCTGCGGGGGGGCGCGGGCGTTTGCCGCCACGCAGGGGCCGGGGGCAATTGGGAAACGTTCAGGGAAATGGAGGGCGGCAGGTCGAGGAAGAACGGGGGAGGGGGAGGGCAAAGCAGCGGGCGGGAATGGGGAACATAGTGACCAGGCGAGATGCTCTGATAGGGGGAGCGATGTGGGCGGAAGCCGCAGTTGGAATTCCTTCGGATAACCCTGGGACGTTCAGACACGTCCGCCTGGAGGCCGGCATGGGGTTCAGCGGCCCTTGCCTTCCTGACTCTGCGGGCGGGGCGCGACGACGCACCCGACTTGTACCCCGTCCCTTTCGCTAGGTGCTGGTCTGTACGTGCTCGCCCCGCGCGAGACATCGAGCACGTTCAGAACTACACTTAGCCAGGCACTAGGTGTAGTTCTGCATGTGCTGGTTTCGCCAGAGACATCCTCACAAAACGGAGCACTTATAGAACTACACCTAGCCAGCGGGGCGGGGTGCATGTCGGGCGCCGCCGCTCGCGCTCCCAACGTGTTCCGCGCCCCGGCCGCTAAGTGCCGTTCTGTACGTGTCCCTTTTTCGCGAAGCGTCGGCTGCCCGCGCTGCCCATCGCCGATGCCCCGCCCCCTGGGCCGCTCCCCACCGACATCCCGCATCCCCTGGCTCAGCGAAGCCAGCCGTATGTCTGGGGGCCTCGACCTCGCGCGGCCCGCTTCCCTCCCCCGCCTGTGCCCCAGCAGCAAATCCGCGATCCGATCCCCCGCGTTTTCGAGTTCTTCTTCGTGCCAGATCCCCCGTCCGAAGGTGCAGCGCTTTTTCGTGTTATGATTTTTCTTGCGGTTGCCGCCAAGCCTCGCCGTGAAACATGGTGATCGCTTCCACGCTTGGCACGCGACGTCGTCGGCGCGACCATCGCCTTCCATCGTAGGTCGCGAGGCGGTGTCCATCCACCCAGACCGACCGACGCGCCAAAACTTATTATGATTTCCGTCCCTGGTCCCCGCAACAAGGTGCAGTTTTGCTGCGTGTAGTTGTAGATGTGTTCGAAATGGGGGTATGGGGAGGGGTGGCCTTCTCGTCGCCCTCGTCCTCCTCCAGCTTCGGCCGCACCAGCTCTATTTGACGCCACGCAGCTACGCGAACCAGCCCAGCACTCGGTCCAGAGCTCGATCGATCCATCTTCCAGCTTGATCCCCCTTTCCTGCCCCCCAATCTCGGGTATAGCCAGGACCCCAGGTAAGAGGACACGGTCAGTGGTAGGGCCCCGGGGCCTTTGAATTGGCCGGAATCACTAAAACAGATCTGCCGTAGTTGGTGTTTTTCGGGTGACGGCAGTTCCGGTTAGTGGAACGGGGCGGGGGGGGCCTCCCCCAGTACACATCACTAAACCAGGTTCCACTGAACCCAGTTTTGCCAAAGCCCGACAAACCACCCTTGCCGCGCCCCCTCCCCCTCACTCTTTCCCCCTCCGCTCCACTCGTTCTCTCTCCCTACCCCCTCCGTCGCCGCTCTCCTCCGTCAGGCGGCACTTCGCCGCGACCTGGACTCTCCATTCCGCTGCCTCTCGGCCTCTGCGCGCTCGGCCTCCATCGCCATTTCGTCCTCCCCCCCCTTCCTCAGAGGAGCAAGAAGTCATGGTAATGATACGCCCCAAGAACCTCAGTCTTTCCAGGTTGTCCCGGTGCTCCACACGGGCAGCAGCAACAAGTGCCGTCAGATACTCTGGAATTCCTGAAGCGCATCCTGAGCCGACCGTTCTCGTCCAGCTGCCGACCGTTCCCCCCCCCTCCCGGACGTTCCTGCTCCCTCGGCGCCTCCGCCCGCCCATTCCCACACCCCCTTGCCCCGCGCGCTTCGCCCTGGCTGGCCCGGCATCCAGGCGCCGCCGCCACCGCCGTTGCCTCCCCCGGCGGACCCGCCGACGAGCGAGCAGACCAGGCAGGCCGCGGAATGGCGCGCCAGGGGGGGGCAAATCGAAGAAGAAGAAGAAGAAGAAGAAGAAGGAGCAAATCGGGCGGGCGGCAACGGGAGGGGGTGGCATACAAGTGGGGGGTGGGATCCAGGATCGCAGGAAAGCGGCCCCAGGCAGCCCCTGAACTGCCACCGCGGGCCAGCTCTGTGCACGAAAGACGCGCGTTTCTTCACCCCACGTGAATTGTCCCCCTGCCAATGAACACCCGCAAGAAAAGCCGTAAGCTTGAACTGTAGGGGCTCCGCCTGGATTTCTTGGATCTGCGCTGCCTCCGCCCCCCCTGGCGGCGCCTCTGGCGCCGCCCCGGCCGCGCTGCGCTGCACGCGCCAGGGGGGAGGGGGCCAGCGCCGATCCAAGAATCCGCGCGGAGCTCTGGAAGTTCATGGTCAAGGTGGTTATCTGATTTTCTTCCTGTGTGGTAAGGAGTGCCCCTCCCCATCCCCAGAGCTCCTCGCGTCGCGAAAGAATCACGATGGGAGGTCGCTTGGTAATTATCGACCTCTGCGGGGGGAGCCTGAAGGGACTGCGGGGCCGTCAGAAGACGGGTCAGTCAGGATGGAAAGGTTGCTCTGGGGAGGTGGTCCAGACCTCTGGGGGCCTACGTAGCGCAAAAGTCACGAGGTCGGGGGTCTGGGCCCCCCGGGCCTCACAGACGGATGGGGCTGGAGGGATCGCGCTTGGTCGCCGATGGATCGGCGATGCGAGCTCCGATCTTCCTCAACGCAACGTAGTCGATGCATCGGCGATCATACACACCTACGTACACGCATACATGCATGCATGCATGCATGCATGCATACATACGTACGTACGTACATACGTACGTACGTATAAACATACATACATGCATACATACATGCATGCATGCACGGATACATAAATGAATGCATACATACATACATACATACATACATGTATACATACATACATGCATGCATGCATACATACATGCATATATACATATATACACGCATACATACATATGTGCATGCATATGTACATGCATACATGCATGTGCGGAAGATGTATTGCATACATGAGTATGCACATACACATACAGACGCACAAACATACAAACATGCATACATACATGCATGCATACATACATGCATGCATGCATACATACATACATACACTCATACATACATGCATACATACATGCATTCATACATGCAGGCAGGCAGGCAGGCAGGCAGGCAGGCAGGCATACATACATATATACGTACACACGCAAATACGTACACACGCACAGACACACATATACAACCATACCTCCATGCATATATATATATATATATACACACGTACGTACATACATACACACATACACACATACACACATACACACATACACACATACATACATACATACATACATACATACATACATACATACATACATACACACACATACATACGTACATACGTACGTACGTACGTACGTACATACATACATACATACGTACATATTTGCCTCATTCAGTGTTGCACTGACAGGGTCCTAGCGGAGACTGAAGGATTTGGCGAAAGTGCCGACCCGATTTCGGTAGGTGGCTGGCTTTTCGGGTCCCCTGTTCCGGGTTCAGGGCCGATTTCGGTGGGCCGCGGGGTTCCCGGGTTCCCTGGTTGTTTTTTGATCTTCTTATCGACCGGATTCACCATCGATTTTGTTACCCACCTCTCTATCGATCTCACGGTCGATCTCACAATCTATCTCATGATCGATATCACAATATATCTCACTATAGATCGCACGAGCGATCTCACGATCGATCTCACTATCGATCTCATTGAATCAACTTCACTATCGGTCTCACGATCGACCTGACTATCGTCCTCACTATCGATTTCGCAAGCGATCACACAATCGATCTCAACATCCATATCACTATTTTTCAAAACATCCACTGATTGGGGCTTTCTCTGGTGTCATATATATATATATATAACACACGCACCTCTATGTGTCGGAGGCTAAGGGGTGAGATCGAAGTGGAACGGAGAGTTCCCCACCAGCAATTCGGAATCGGTTTCGGGTTCTTGTCGTGCGTGCGGGTGAGGCGAAGCTGTGTGGGCGGGCGAGAAGAACGACCCCGCTGTGGCTAGGGCGGGCATGAGCCGTTGACCGCCCCCTCCTCCCTCCCTGGTGGGCGGGCGGTGGCTGGGTTGTCCCGCCGTGGTGTTCCGTCGTTGTCCGCCTCTCCCCCGCGGTGGGCGGGCGGTGGCCGGGTTGTCCCGCCGTGGTGCCCCGTCGTTGTCCCGTCGTTGGCCCGTCGGTGTCCCGTCGCTGGCCCGTCGCTGGCCCGTCGCTGGCCCGTCGCTGGCCCGTCGGTGTCACGTCGGTGTCCCGTCGGTGTCCCGTCGCTCGTCCGTTGGTGGCCCGTCGGTGGCCCGTCAGTGTCCCGTGGTGAGATCGATCTAGTAGGACCGATAGTGGGATCACATCGCGGCGCAGCATCGTCACCACGCGTCGTCGCCAACTTGAGGGCGCACCACCAGCATCGTCACCATCACAGCCATCGCAGTTGTCGTCAGTTTGTGTTTTCCCCCACCCACCAGTTGTACAGGGAGGAGGATGGTTTTGTTGGACTTGACGGCAGCCGTGGCGATCGCATGGCGACGAGGGAGGAGTTGGAGCAAGGTGGTGTTTCCTCATCCTGCGAGTTGGCCCCTACGGGCCAAGACGAAAGACGGCGCCACGCGCGGGCCTATGCAGAGATAGGCATTTTAGCTGTGAGTGCTTTACGGGGTAACGGCCAGCTCGCGGTTATCCTCGCACTTTCGCAACACTTCGGATGCCGGCTCTTCTAGCTTCGCTTCCTCTTGTGCAGCGCCGCCTCGGTTATCTTCACCCAGGCGTGCCGTAGGCGGGACAGGGGCTCCCGAGACCAGCAGGCTTGCTGGTCGCGCACATGGAGCGCCCCTTACAAAACGATAAGACCTCGCCCACGGGAGCTCCAGGCTGCCGAGAGCTCACAACATTCAACGTCGTGGGAGTCCAGGTGGGCTTCCACACGCACAAAGCTGGGAGGCCCAACTTCTGGAGGCACTCTTTACGATCGAGGGCGGCCACGGGCGTCGTCTTACCTTGCAAGCAGCGCACACACTGCCACCGATTCAGGTCGACCACGACGAATTCGTGGGCGAGCTGCGCGGTCACCCTGCGAAAGGCGGGCGGCCAGCGCAAGTCCGCCCACTCTGGCTTCGGAGCGGGGCCCGAACGCAGCACTCGGGCGGCTCCTCGAAAGAACCGTTTCGTCCTCGCGAGCCGATCTTCGAGCTCGGCGGCGAGGGAGGCAGATGCGCCGTGGAGGCGGCCTGCCAGCTTGGCCGCCTGGTCGGCCTGGTCATTGAGCCAAGCAGCCCGCTCAGCGTCGGTGGTGGGCTGCTCGACTACGTGCACGTGCGACTTTAGTTTGACCAGGCCCGTGGGGGCCTGGTCTTTGCCCGCTTGGGCCATCCCAATCCTGGCCGACCCCAGGACAGAGATAGTCACCTATGCACGTGCAGGTCCCGTTCGAGACCTCTGCGCCCGTGTGTAAAAGCGCTGGTGCTCGGTGCAAACTGCCGACTGCGGCCTCGCGGGATGTGGTTCCCCCACCCCTCCCCGCGGCAGCAGAGTGGCCTGTCGGCGGGGCGGCCACCGCAGGCACTTCTAGGGGGGGGGACGCTCTGCGCGCCCGCGGGAGCGATGGTCGTGTGGGCAGCTCTTCGTCCCTCCCCTCCCCATAAAGGGCAGAGTCGCAAGCTGCTTCGCAGCTCGTCGTGCCCGCGATTCGGTTCGGCCGCTTCGCAGTCGGTTGCGTCCGGTCGGTTCTGTCATGTTCGGTCGGATTCGGATGCGTCGTTGCTGCTTCGTTGCGCCTTCGGCTGCTGTCGGCCTGTCGGTTTCGGGCGGTTTAGGCTTTGCTGGTCGGTGCTGCTGTCGCCGCGGACTGCTACGGAAATTGATGTTGTCACGCGTTGTCCCCCGAGTTCGCCCTCTGGGGGCCCGTTTCGGGCCCAGGGCTCGTCAGAAAAGTCGATATTTGGAGTCGAAGATGTGCCAGGATAGACCCTGGAGGGGTCCATGGATCGGTTGCTGAGCTGGAATGGTGGCCTGATTTCGGGCAGTGAGAGAACGCCCTCCCAGACAAGTCGACTCCGAAAATCTGCAAAGGGTCATTCGACATCGGCAGTCGAGTGTAAAGGAGCAGTACCCAGTCGGTTCCGTCAATCGACGTGCGTTTCGGAAGGTACATCCGTTTGTTTTGGACGCCGATCAATTACCCCGCCCGGATCCACTCGGAATGCAGGCACGCTCCCCGCACACCAGGGGGGGAACGATGGCAGGCGCTCGCAGTCGGGCCCGCTGCACGCGAGCAGGCCCTCCCAAGAGGGCTACAGGAGGCCCCCGAGACACCCCCGAGAGGCCCCCAGGAGGCCCGGAAGAGGTCCACGAGAGGCCCCCAATAATGAGCTCCCAAGCAGCTCCACGAGAGGCTCCCAAGAGTCAGGGGAAGAACAAACACCACGGCCCCCATCACTGGCGCTTGCTAAATGGCCCTGGGCGTTTACTGAACAGCCTTGGGATGTTCGGCCCAAGGGCCCAGGGTCGCAAGTATTGTCCTAGTCCTGCTGTTGAGCGTCTTACTGGACGTAAAAGACGCATGGTGGGTCCCTCTGGATGGAACCTCAGACGTGTCTGGCCTGGTGGGGATTGAGAGCATGTTGGGTCCCACTCAAAGTGGTACAAGACCCTTCACCTTGGCTCATGCGTCTTTTGTGTCGTATCTTATCCTGGCTGCACCGCCGATGTATCTTAACTGATCCTCCTCCTGCTCCTCCTTCTCCTCCTTCTCCTCCTCCTCCTCTTTCCTCTCCTCCTCATCCTCCTCATCCTCCTCCACCGCCTCCTACTCCTGCGAAGCCGCAAATCCTCGTGCTCCTCCGCTTCCTCTCTCCTCCTCCTCCTCCTCCTCCTCCTCCTCCTCCTTCTCCT